GGGGGGGAAACGGGGGGCAGCCGAGGCGTGTTTCAGAGGCCTCCCGGGAGCCTTTGGAGGCAACCTGAGCGAACGCTTCCGGGGCCGCAGAGAGTTCGCGGCCATTTGCCCGCCCGGCCGGCAGGCTTCCCTTTCTGCCTGTGGAGCCCCGCGCCCCGCCGTTTGTTTCAAACGCAGCTCCCCTCCCCCGTTTTTCCTCCGACGAGGCCTCCTTCAGCCGAGTCCCTCTCGCCCTCACCCCAATGCTGTAACGAGGGTTGGCGTCGGAACGGCTGGTCCTGATTCCTCTCTTTTCCCCCCCCCCCCCCGTTCCTCCTTTTCTCCCTTCTCGGTTCCCTCCGGACGAGGGGGCGGCGCCGGGCTGAGGTGCTTCCCCGGCCTGACCTGAGCCTTTGGCCCTGGAAGCAGCGGCGGCCGGAGCAGGAAGAGCCGCAGACCTCGAATGAGGGAAAGCCCCTCCGGCCCTCCAACACACACACACACACAGGCGGGCTGTCTCCCGGGCCTGTTCACGCGGTTTTTCCGAGGCCTTCTTCAGGGAAGAGGAAAGACATGGGTGTGTGTTGCGTACGCACGAATCCGGGGTGGATGGGAATGAGGGTCTCTTGTGCAAAGTTCCCGGCTTGCCTTGGCCTTGTGGACGCGCCAGCTCTCGTTCTGCGCGGAGGCCGGCTTGTTTGGAATTGGCCTGATGGGAGTATCTGCACGGCTGGACGCGGAAAGAAAAGGTCGGCAGCGTGTTTGATGGTTGCAGATACTGTATGTCGATAGTGGCGATCGGTAGCGAATCTCCCACCCCATGTTCCTAATATTATGTCGTAATTCTGCCTTCGTGTCCTGTGTCCCCGGACGCTCGTTCATGTGCAACTCCGAAAGGTTTCCATTTCTCTGTGATACTATATTCTGGCGGGGTTCTTTTGTTTTGCTGTGTCTCTCTTCTGTGCCAGGGCCTCACATTACAGCCTTCCTATGCATTCTTGAAAACCCTTTTGTTATGCTGCTGTGGAAATGCGTTAGCCATTGTCTTGTTGCATCCCTTGTAAAGTTTTGGCATACAGTATTTAAAATGAGTAATGAGAGTGCAACACTCATAACTGGATCTATATGAGAAATCATACATGTTGGGACTTTTTAGCAGTATGGAGTTCATATTCCAGTTGTGGAACACAATTCCAAGTGTGTGGTAATACAGAAACCTGTGTGACTCCGCTGGTATCAATCAGTATATGCAGAATCTTCTTTTGTTAAGGAATGACCTTTGGCATAATTTTGTGTGTGGTCTGTTAGGGAAAGAATCTTCAACAGTTGTTACTGGGGGTGGATATACCTACAGAGTGTATGCATGTTTAAAGGAAAAGATTAAGGACAGTTGTGTTTTGAGACACTCCTATGGATATTTTGCTAAAATAATTAAATGAAGTCTCAACTAAAAGACTGCGTAGAATTGCTGGAGTTAGTGAATACTTTTGTTCCTAGAGCATGCTTAAACACTTGTATGCTAAGAAAACTGGGAAATATTTTTCAGTCTAAGTAGCAATGCACCATAACAAATCTACAAATTAAGCATGTTGTAGAATAGAATTTCTATACCTGACTACTGGATTCTATGAACAAATTTTTGACTGCATGATTATTTACCAGATTGAATCATGCAGATTTTTCTTATTGGTGTCCCCATTGTTCAATAGAGTTTGCTTGCTTACTAATAAATAGA